ACAAACTGAGATATGCAGATGATACACCCTTGCTTGCTGAAAGTGAAGAGGACTTAAAACATTTACTGATGAAGATCAAAGAGCACAGCCTTCGGTATGAATTGCATCTCAATGTAAAGAAAACAAAAATCCTCACCGTTGGACCAATAAACAACATTCTTATCAACAGAGAAAAGATTGAAGTTGTCAAGGACTTCATTCGTCTTGGATCAACTATCAACACTCATGGAAGCACCAATCAAAAAATAAAAACGACGTATTGCATTGGGCAAATTTGCTGCACAGGACCATTTAAAGTGTTGAAGAGCAAAGATAGCTTGAGGACAAAGGTGTGCCCGACCCAAGCCATGGTATTTTCAGTAACCTCATATGGATGCAAAAGCTGGACAGTGAATAAGGAAGATTGTAGAAGAATTGATGCCTTGGAATTATGGTGTTGGAGGAGAATACTAAAAGTGCCGTGGGCTGCCAAAAGAACCAATAGATCTGTTTTGGAAGAAATGCAGCCAGAATGCTCCTTGGAGGCCAAGATGGCCAAACTTTGTCTCTCATACTTTGGACATATTGTCAGAAGGGACCAGTTGCTGGAGAAGGATATCATGTTTGGTAAGGTGGAGGGTCAGAAAAAAAGGGGAAGACCCCAACGAGATGGATTGGCTAAGTGACAGCATCGATGGACTCAAGCGGCAATGTAGTAACGTTGGCCCACGATCGGGCAGTATTTCATTCTGCTGTGCATAAGGTCGCTATGGGTTGGTACCGACTCAATGGCACCTAACAACCAACAAACAACAACAAGGAAGACCAGTTAATACCACTATTATTCAAATTTATTCACCAACCACTGAAGCCAGTGATGATGAAACTGAAGAATTCTACCAACTTCTTCAGTCTGAAATTGATCTAACATGAAACTGAGATAATTACTGGCAATTGGAATGCAAAGGTTGGAAACAAAGATAAAGAATCAGTAGTTGGAAAATATGGCCTTGGTTATAGAAATGATGCTGGAGATCACATGATAGAATTTTGCAAGACCGATGACTTCTTTGTTGCAAATACCTTTTTAAAATAACACAAAAGATGACTATACACATGGACTTTGCCAGATGACATACACAGAAATCTAATTGACTACATCTGTGTAAAGAGATGGTGGAAAAGTCCCATATCATCAACCAAAACAAGGCCAGGGGCAGACTGTGGAACAGACTATCAATTGCTCATATGCAAGCTAAGGATGAAGCTCAAAAAAATTAAAACAAGTCCACAAGATTCAAAATATGACCTTGAACATATCCCATCTGAATTTAGAGATCACCTCAAGAACAGATTTATGCATTAGAGTGAAAGACTGAAGACCAGCAGAGTTGTGGGATGACATCAAGAACATCATACAAAAGAAAGCAAAAGGTCATTAAGAAGACAAAAAGAAGGAAAAGATCAAAATGGATGTCAGAAGAGACTCTGAAACTTGCTCTCCAGCATAGAGAAGCCAAAGCAAATGGAAGAATTTCAAAAAACAATCAAGAAGACAAGATTAGATATCATAATTAAATGTTCAAAGACTTGTAGTTAGAAAATCAAAAGGAAAAAAAAAAAAAAACACAAAAAAACACTCAGCATTTGTCAAGCTGAGAGAACTGAAGAAAAATTCAAGCCTCAACTTGCAATACTGAAGGGTTCTATGGACAATATATATTAGAAACATCATATAGTTTTAATTCTTTCTTTACAGGTTGTCTAATGACTTTTGATTAAGAAAACTGTAGAGTTAGTAACGGCCACAAGCAGACCCCAGTCCATGGCACACATCAGTTCTCCACAAAGTCCTGCTTTGCAGGGGGCTCTGAATGCACTGCTAGGGTCTCTTGGTCATACTTGCTAGAATCATTCGTGGCCGATTTTTAGTCCTTCCCCCCATATTTCTTTGTAAACTCTTCAGCATTCTTACAGATTTTTTTTATGGTCATTAGAGTATTCTTCAGGTCAGTCAGCCCATAGTGTGTGTTCGGACTGGGGGGGTCATTGACCAGTGTTATGAGGGCTGAATTACTTGGTCAGTTTTGGTGGCTGGCTTCAAGTTTTCAGCACTAATTACTGGCAGGCAAAACTGACCCTTTTCATCGATGT